TAGTAATCATACTGTCACAAACACACATGTTCACACTGATAAATGAATTTGTATACCTGGTTCAATCACATACTATTGTTTACATATACATACAAGGTATTTACAAGTCCCATTTATGTTTCTAGAAGTCCACCACTGTATGGTACTCCAAGAAGCATGGATTCATACAGAGTGCCACCCCACATTGCTGACACGTGTATTGTGTGTCTTTTCGCACTCGGGGTCGCTGTTTAGTGTAAGCACACACAACACATTTTTTCTGAGAGTACTTATTCTTTGGAGTAGATAGTAATGGTACCAGGCAGTGACAGTTAGGGATTATTCGGATGGGCACTTCCCCCTCTTCTTGTGGAGTGACAGGTCGCTGTGGAGTAACAGGTGTAGGTGTGGTACCGTACTTTTTTGCTGTATGCTTGATGATATTGAGTGTGAATTCTGCATATCGTTGTTGCTTCCCAGTCTTTATTTCATACATGTTGAAGGCATTGAGCATTGCAATGTCTAAAGGTGGAAATTTTTTTTTATATACCACTTGCGACTCCTACGCACAGCCAACAAACCCTATCATCATGTCACACTTGTCAACTAGTTGCATATTGTTCGTATAGTTGATGATAGCAACTGGCTTTACAATAGGTTCATTGTTGAACCTGCTCTGTCTGTACCATCTTGTTTCTGTGGATGGTTGACAGCAACGTCACGTCCTGTTTGTCCTGCCACGTCAGTGCCATGGTGTCATTGGCATGAAACACTTCTACTAGACTTCTTCTGGTGGACCTTGGCATGTGTTTTCTGCTTCTTCTCACTGTTCCACATATTAGTATTGTTCACACGTAGGAAATCTGCGAGCATAGGGCTTGTATACCAGTTGTCTGTGAACAGTGTATGACCTTTGCAAAGGTATGGCCCCATCATCTTGCGAACAACATACCCAGAAATGCCCAGCATGCGCCTGGTATTGCTGAGTGTATTTTTCCTTGTGTAGATAATGACATCCAACACATGACCAGTCTCACAGTCACACATAACAAAGAGTTTTATACCAAAATGATTACGTTTGCTTGGTGTATATATTTGAATGACAGTCGTCCCTTGAACAGAACTAAGGACTCATTGACAACAATGTTCTTGAATGGATAAAAGTAGGCACTGAATTTTTGCTTCAGATACATAAACAATTCCCGGATTTTGTATAAGAGGTCATTTCTGTTTGGCGTATTCCTGTCTGAGAAGTGCAACATTCTGTTGCAGGGAAGGAGGTCACGGAAGACTGGAGTACTGATGAAGTGGTCTGTGGACCAGTAGTGTGCTATATTGTTCTTATAGGTGTGTGGCATAAGCATGACAGTGCCAAGGAATAAATACATTTCAGCCACAGTTGTATCTTTCCACCTGTGCAGCCGTGAAGACTCTGAAACACGTGTGGTCCATTGTATACTGGTAGTACATGTTGGTCTGGGTAACAATTAGGTTCATTATTGGCTCATCAAAGTAGTGCTGAAAATAGTCTAACTCTGTAGACTCATTTGTGATGGGACAGTGTGGCATGATGCCACTTCCACTGGCATCAGAATTGAAAGGATGTGGCACAAATGGTGTACTTTCTGTCCAGTTCCATTCGCGGTCACATGGTGCAGGGTGGACCTGTGGCATGGGGAGTGGGGGAGCAGGAGGGGGGACAGGAGTGAAGGCAGCACATGGTTGAGAGGGTGCCGGGCAGTCCTTTGTCTGCCCACCCATTGCACCACGAGGTCCAGGCACCATGCCACCCCCCTCTTCCTCCATCCCAGCATATTCACCTTCATTATCACTATCGCTATCAGTGGCTAGGGTTTCGGATCGTGACCTGCCACGACCCTTGCCACCGACTACATATGGCACACTGCCTGAACGTAGGTTATGACGCCTAAAAGTACGTTTCACGGGAAAAATGATACTCACTTTCACTTGACGAATCGTCTATTGGTATAAAATCGATTTCATCATCGTCACTTATATCACTTTCACTGTCGTCATCACCATAACGCATGGAAAATGATAATTTCCTCTTGCGGAGTTGCCTTTGGGAAGTAACACTAGCAACCCCAGAGGTGCTGGGCTGAGGGTCTGGTGTGGCACACTTCCACACTGGCCACTCCAGAGGTCATGGCCTGAGGGTCATCTGGGTTATCAACAAAAGTTTCACTAATTTCTTGATCTTTAGTGGCTATATCGGAGTCAAAAGCCACTAAGCTCTCATTCTGTATCATTTTCCGGGAATAGTAGAGTGTTAATACGCCGAGGTGTCAGTGAATCACGGGGGTTTTCCATGATGTTGACCCAAGATGGAGCTGAAACTAACTGGTGTTATCATGTTGTACCCCAGCATCCCCAATTTTTTTCGATGTGCGCACACTGAGTGTGCACATTCATTCTCTCATGTCTAGGCGACTCAGACCTGTAGCGCCAATTTTGAAGGAATGAAAAATAAAACTATCTACGTTCGGAGCCTGCCGCACGTGAACGTATATCTGTGTGGACAGTTTAGGGGTTAACCCCACCTTAAAGCTCTGGGAGTTGTCACAGTTGCTCTTTGCTGATGACACTGTGCTTTTTGGGAGATTCTGAAGAGAAGTAGCAGAGGTTGGTTGATGAGTTTGGTAGGGTATGTAAAAGAAGGAAATTAAAAGTGAATATAGGAAAGAGTAAGGTGATGAGGATAAAAAAAATTAGGTAATGGAAGATTAGATATCAGATTGGAGGGAGAGAGTATGGAGGAGGTAAGTGTATTCAGATATTTGGGAGTGGACATGTCAGCAGATGGGTCTGTGAAAGATGAGGTGGATCATAGAATTGACTAGGGAAAAAATGGTGAGTAGTGCACTGAGGAGAAAGTTGAGACAAAGAACTCTATCTTTGAAAACAAAGAGGGGACTGTAAGAAAGAATAGTTATACCAACACTCTTGTATGGGTGTGAGGCATGGGTGGTGAATGTTGCAACTAGAAGGCTGGAGGCAGTGAAGATGTCACGACTGAGGGCAATGTGTGGTGTGAATATAATGCAGAGAATCTGTAGTTTGGAGATGAGGTGTGGGATTACCAAAACTGTTATACAGAGGGCTGAGGAGGGGTTACTGAGATGGTTTGGATGAAATAGAATGACTTCGAGAGTGTATAAATCTGTAGTGGAGGGAAGACGGAGTAGGGGTCTGCCTAGGAAAGGTTGGAGGAAGGGGGTTGGACTTCCAGTAAGCATGCATGAGCATATTAGCAAATGGAGACGAATGGTTTTTAGGACTTGATGTGCTGTTGGAGTGTAAGCAAGGTAACATTTATGAAGTGATTCAGGGAAACCAGCAGGCAGGACTTGATTCCTGGAGATGAGAAGTACAGTGCCGGCACTCTGAAAGAGGGGTGTTAATGTTGCAGTTTTATAACTGTAGTGTAAGCATGCCTCTGGCAAGACAGTGATGGAGTGAAGGATGAAAGTTTTTCTTTTTCGGGCCACCCCGCCTTGGTGGGAAATGGCCACTGTGTTAATAATACGTATATATTTACGGCCTCTCCTCACTTAACAAGGGAGTTTTGTTCCTAAGACTACGTTGGTAAATGAATTCGTTGCTAAGCGAGGAGCATACTATAATGGTAGTGGGTTTGTGTCAGCCATCTTTGATATTGTCTTAATATCACCTTTGCACCATTTATAACATTTCTGGTGTATTTTTAAATGTTTATACAGCAGTGTATTGTATATTGTAATAAAAAGAATAGAGGAAATCAGCTCTAATATACGTACATTATTTAGGCATGCATGCTGGTCAGAGAGCCTGTTGTAAGTCTGTTGAGTCGTCGGTAAACAAGTACGTAAGTGAGGAGAGGCTGTATTTATTTATTTTATGATTATTATCATTAACACAGCGGCATGCTTACACCACAGTTATTAACATCCCTCATTCAGAATGCAGGCACTGTACTTCCAATCTCCAGGACTCAAGTCCAGCCTGCCGGTTTCCTTGAATCCCTTCATAAATACATGTATTACCCTGCTCACACTCGAACAGCATGTCAAGTCCTAAAAACCATTAGTCTCCATTCACTCTTATCTAACACGCTCCGCATGCTGCTGGAAG